ATAGCAGCTTCAGTAAATTGAAACTCTCATTCCTGGAGCTAATAAATTCATTATTGTAAACGAGAACCAAGAGTTCACTATGCTGCTTTGACAGAGATGTGATCAGATGAGGTGGTTTATGCTAAGGTGTCACAGGAATAAAATTATTAGATGAAGAGGATGAAGACAATTCATTGTCTTCTTCACAGGATATCTCTTATGTTTCCAATTTGTAGGTGGATGTGGCACTGGAAGACCATCTCCATGAGGTACTGGTTTCATTGCAGATGCAATATCTGGATATTTAATGTATTGTTTAATTTTGTTTGAATATCCAGAAACATTAGTCATGCAAAAATAATTATCTTAATCTTCTATTCATGAGTAGTTGTTGTAATAAATGCTTTTCAATAATCTTAATATAGTAAAGTATTTCATTCAATAAATTGAAATCGTGGTTATTGATAAACTGTTTAAAATTTCTGCAATTAGTTTTTTTATATTTTTTACACAATGTTGTAATGTATTCTATCATTGGGCAGCTTCCTTTGTATTATTTGGTAACAATAAAGCCCAGTCTATGTAATGGTAATGAATTTATTTATTTCTTCAACAATGTTTGCTACAGGCTATGTTCACTTTGACACAAGTTGTAGGCCTATCTTGTTTTATAAATTCATTCTCTAACATAGCTTGTCCTCCAGTTTTGTCAAACTGCTGATTGTATGGTATTTTTAGATTCCCTGATTAATCTTTGAGTAATCAAATATGAGCCACAGAATGAGTGGGAGTTTGCCAGAAAATGTTTTAACGGAGCAAAATCTGATTTGTGATGATTAATATAATTCATAAAAATCACAATTCACACATTTAATCTACTTCATATCAAAAGAGTTGTTCAAGTAATGAATGACATAAATAGCATCTTGGTCACTTATATGTCTGTTGTATTCCAGCCAGCCAGGGAAGCACTGGTATTAGGTGAAAATCCCCCTTGGCACTGGATATAGCAGATGTACTATAGCTGAGATATCACTGATTCTTCTTTTTACTTTCACATATAAGTTCTTATAATTAATTAGATTAAAAAAAAAGTTTGGTTATTAGAACTGAGTCTACCTTAATTTAGTGCTATCAATTGTGAACCTTACACCTAGTGAAACAGTTGCAGTTCTTACTGATGGGCAACATTGATAGACAAAAATGAAAGTTTAGTGCTACATGGCAGATTTTAGTCCTGGAAATTCTTTTGTAAAGTTTGTAAGAATTCTGCATTATTTAAAAACTCAGAAACTGTAGAAATTCAAGGTTATGATTAATTAATATTAATATATTTTATCTATTAAGATAACTATCGTTTATAGCAGTAATATTTTGACTAAGAGGGAATTGAACTCCCTTTTTATAAGTTGGTACTTTAATTTAGATATTTCAAGTAAAGTTCTTAATATTTTCTATGCTCTTTTTATTTACTTATTTTTAAAAGGGTCCTAAATATTTTTCAATGTGGCTTCATACCTCAATATTCATTTCAAAAACCTAGTATTATTTTCTTGCACTACTCTCGATTCATATTACATTTGATTGCTGAACACTCAAAATTTAGCACAAATTGCATAACTAGCAAGCCCTATAACTTCTTGGTAATGTACTTGTTACAGTATGTTACATCTAGTTTATATAACTTTTCTTTGTTGTGTTTAATTCTGACATATTTCTCCAAATTTTGCATCATTTTTATGTTTATAGACTTGACACTACATATATCTTCATTTTTGTTTACTTAATGTAGGCTAGAACTTGAGAAAAGTTTTGACCGGCAAGCAGTTGGTGCTGTGTTAGATCTCACTGGAGATGAGGACAGCAATATGAAACACAAGAAAGGAATCACCAGATGGTATTTTTCAATTGCAAATTTTATAGTTTGGTATTAAGTTGTCAAAATAAGATCTTTAAAAACCAAAGGAAAGTTGGAATGAGAATTTTCTAAAGTAATAATTTGTTGTAATTTAGCAGTAAAAGTGTACAAAGTGTGTAAATGCTTATGAACGTGTATAAATATTATTATTATTTACTAATTTTAAATTATTTTTCTTAAAACATAGAACAAAAAAAAGTATATAGAAAAGCAATGATTTCTAGTACTTATGATTTTATGAAATTGATTTGTACTTGCATGTTGTACGTGCTAAGCTTTGTTTATTCTATCAAGTGGAGGGGAAAGACAAATTAATTTTTGTAGTCTTTAAAGATGCATTTTATAAAACCAAAAAATTATCAAATTACTGTAATAGTATACAAAAAAATCACTATCATTTATCTGGCTTTCTGACAAAGCTATATGTGAATAAAATATGTTTAAGGTAATTATAAACAACTGTCAGATTTATGTAGTTTGGAATGCACTCTTTCTATTGGTTATAAACCTGCACTTAAGAGAAGTAGGCATGGGTAGAGAAGAGGTTTCAAAAGAATGGAGTAATGGGAGGGGCTACTCTGGTAGGTCAGTTAAATATATTGATATCTCAGCAAATCAAAAAGGTGGGAGGTTCTTATTTTGTTTTACCTTGTCAGTGTCTGAAGTTTGAGTTTCTAATTTGTTAACCACTATATACCTTGTATGGTAGGAGTAATACAATAGAAATTGAACAATAAGACAACAGGACATGCCATGTGATATTTGGCAATTAAGAAATTAAAACATGTATAATATTAAAATTTGAACAGTCAACTATGTTTTGATGCCAATCTTATTGACATACATTGATAATAAAGTTGTTCAAGTTTTTGAAAACTCTAATAAAACATTGTTACTTGCACTCTTTGATGTGTACATAAGGAGAGGGTTAATCAATAACTTCAACTTACCCTGTATGTTTGATATAGTGCAGAGAGGGTAAAGATTGTTTAATTTCAAAACATTAGGTATGAATTTTCCAATTGATGCATTAACTATATGTATATTTAGATGTTTTATTCTATTTAGGGATCGACGAAAGAAAAAGTTTGTGAAGGACATAGGCTTTGATCCCAGAAAAAAGAAAATTAAGACTGAAAGTGGAATTTGGATTCCAGCTTCTTACAAGTCAACCATGTATCTTTTTTTATGTAGACTTTTGATGGATATTTATATTGATTTTACTTCATTCTAGTGATTAACCTCCTAGGATTACTAGATATTGTTCTAGACAGAAGAATATAACAAAATTATCAAGAAATGTTTCTAGAGAACAAGGACATGTGAAATAAAAGTTTACAATTATAAAACATTTGTTGTAGGTATTGCCTTATATGTACTGATGTTTCTAGTCAACATCTTCTAAAATATGTTTATCAAACTTAATCATAAGAAGAGAGCAAGTATGCCACTTGCAGTTCCCATGATATGATGTGAGCCCAAAGATCATCTAACTGACTTATTTTTGATAAACCTCTTCACACTGTTGTTTTAAACCCTACATCATAAAAAAAGATTAAGTTTTTAATACTTATGAATGTTTGAATAAAAAATATACTATCTCACCCCTTTTCTGTCTCATGATCAGCTTTCTTGTAGGGCAAATAAAAATTCTCATCCCTGAAGCTCTTCTTTTCCAACTTTTGTCTTTTTGGGGAGTTTTCAGATACTTGGTGTTTTTCCAGTTGTTTTTGTTGTCTCCCAATAATCATACTAAAAACTTTCTAAAGAATGATTTTTTTAAATTCTGTTTTAAGTTCACTGGTACTTGTAATTGTATGCTAAAAACTTCTTATAAACTACCTTATGATATATGGATTGTTAATCTGTTATTCATAATATTTTTTAACATACAGAGACGGAAAGATGAACTACAACTTATTACGTAAAGTTCCATTTTGGAAACATTAATGAGCATTTTTATATAGAATAATTTGTTGATTTTCATGATTATTAATTAATTGTCACTTATCCTAAAAATACATTTATAAGAGCTTGATCACAAGAATAATGCAAACTGAGGGCAGGAAGATCATGGCAATATAACACTGGGCAAAAAAAAAAGTTTTTCTGCTACTAGAAAAAATGGAACTGTTATAGTAATTTAATGATGCTGATTGTAAAAATCATGTTGAAAATTACTGATCGCCTCTAGTTTTTGGGTTAAGGTAGATTTATTCAAAATATTGTTATATATCATGAAGATAACTTTTTCTTTAATAACTTTATTTATTGAAAATTGCATTTAAGAATGTTGAAAAACCAAACATAACAGCAATACCAGTTTAAAAAAGCAATGAGTATAATAAGATTATATACTGAAAAACATTCAGGCTATGTTCAAAACATTCATCATGGTATTATTTTTAATGTTTTGTTATAAAATATCTGTTTGTCTTGTTGCACCTTTTGTGTATGTTCTCAGTTTCATACTGAAGGAACCAACAGTAATCTCCCATCATCCTTGATATCGCTGTTTCATTGTAGAAATATCTTGGTGGAAGTGCTCACCATGTTCATCATTCACTGCACCTATATCATTTGGAAAGAAGTCTGAATGGGAGTGTAAGAAGTGCATCTTTATTATCATCCTAGACTCCATTTTCCTGTAGTTCTCGAGCACATCATCAATCATCACAGCATAATTTTCATCTCTGTGATTTCCTAAGAAATTTTTTACAACTAGTTTGAATCATTTCCAGGCAGAAAGATTTTTTTGACTGAATACTGTTTCAAAATCATTATCCATCAGCACTTCCTGACTCTGTGGCTCAACAAAGATACTGCCTCTCATTTTTGCTTCATTGATTTTTAGAAACTTGTCAGACAGATATCTGAAGCCATTACTATCTTTTTTCATTCCTTTAACAAAATTCTTCATGATTCCCAGTTCACTGGCCATTCCTTCATTTTGAAATGATTTTATCATCTCGGCTGTCCCAGAGTCAGGAAAAACAACGTTTGGTATACCACTTTGCAGGCCTAGCAGGAATGCAATAATGTTTAGATCACCACATATGTTCCACCTATAGTAATCATATTTGATGGCCTCAAGTATAATCTGCATGCTCTGATAAGTTTTTTCATGTTCACAGGATGAGCAAGAGGAATTGATGGCTTAGTGCTCCCATTGTGCAAAAGTACAGCTTTCAGACTTACTTTAGGTGAGTGTAATAAAAGTCTCAATTCTTGAGGATGATTTTCAGTACCTAGTTCTTCCATTAGTGCATCAACATTTGTACAGAAATACAAAGTATCTTGCATGCTTTAGTGAAAAGCAAGAATCTGATGGCAGCTTCAGTAAATTGAAACTCTCGTTCCTAGAGCTATTAAATTCCCCTCCAAAACAATATTTGTTATAAACTAATTTTTTAATAATAGTTTTTGTTTTTCTTATAATTGTAGTATCGTGAAAATAACTGTCTTGGGTTAGTTTCTGTAATGTTTCCAAATCAGTTGTTATTGTATTTAGAGAGCTCCCAATTAATATAACTCATTTTTAAATGAATTAATAAATATAATGTTATGTACATAGATAAGTCTTCCAGTATATTATTTTGTGGTAAAAACACTGTTCAGAGAAGTGGTTTAAAACTTGAGTGCTTTTGAAAGTGCTCGAGTTTTGGGTCTCACCTGAAAACCATTACAACTTATGTATGTGATCCTGTGTGCTAACTTCTTAATCAGAATTTAAATTATCAGATAATGTTGTCACATATATAATACATATCACTAGTTACTCTAATAGTTTTGTTTTTTGAATATAGTAAAAAAAATTTTTCTTTCTCTTCCAGAGATACAGTGGAGGTTCATGTTGATGCTCAGAGTATGTCTGAGGACACCTCTCTCTCCCATGCAATACCAAAAGTAGGAGGAGATACTACTGATGTAACATCATGTGAACCAAATAATGTTGGTTCTGTGAAAACAGATGACTCTTGTAATTCTTGCTGTTGTAGTGAGGATGGAGCCTCCCACAGCAGTTCCAGGAGTTTTGGGGGACACAGATCTCGGTTGTGGAGGACATCTGGACGACGACAACAGGGGGGAGTGAGCACTGCTATTGTATCTTCCAGTATCCCAGAACTTAAGCAATCAAAGACTCAAAGAGACTTGAGAGAATATTGTGTCAGTTTTATTGATGAAAGTCCTGGCATAACTGAGGAGTCAGGAGTAAGAATACCTGTTGATGATGGAAAGGGTGTAAGGCCCAAATCTTTAGTTTCATCAAGAAGTTGTAGTATTGTCCATTCTCTTGAAGCAACTGACCAGCTCTGTTGCTGTGAACTGAAGAAACTTCCCACAACTTGGGATGATTATCACCTTAAAACTAGACAGAGTTCTAAGCTTAATTCCTCATGCAAAAACAATCCAAAATCTTTTCCAGAAACTCACATACTTACTTGTATTGAACCACAATGTGCCAAAATAAAACCTCAAAAAAAGGTAGATGAATATAATGATACAGCTGCTAACTCTAATCACAAAATATGTGACAATTTTAATGATAGAACATCCAGAGGCCTTTTTAGAAAATGTAGTGATCAGTCTATAGTAGTTCTACCACATATTGAGGAGCCAGAAAATAATGTCAAGAAGAACTGCCCTACTCGGCCACGTAGTGCCCCTTATTCATTGCTGTGGCAAGAAAGTTCTCCAGTGAAAGGTGGTGATGATTTTAGTTAAATTCAGATATGTAAGTAAAAGGCAAAGAAATTATTGTTGCTTGTTTTGTAAGAACAGTTGTTTAAGAACACTGTGATTGTGGATTTCTTAACTTTATAAATCAAGGACTGAAGAGTGACATGTGTTTAAGGGTAAGTATACTAGAATATAAACTATGAAATTTTTCCTGGAAGCACTTCCAGAAAATACCTGTAGAAGAGAACTTTGTATACTTTAAAGATTTAGATCAAAATATCATTAAAGGTTGACAACTTCAAAAAAAGTATTCTCTTCATGTAACTTTGTATGTAACAGTCTGTGAATATATATATATTCAAAGTGGTCTTGTCTATTTACCATAGTCAGTTATCTAACTTTTTCCAAGCAGGCATTTCTGAAACTGCATGGTTTCAATATTATGTGTTAACTGTGAGGCATAATTACAGAGTTTGCTTTATTATTCATGAGTATGCAAAACCCCAGTCCATGCGACACATTATGACTAACTTATTTTCATTTTAAATATAAAAAAAACAGCTGTAGAAGTGTGAAGTTATATAATATACAGCTTACTTTTTAGATTCTTTGCGTTTCAGTGGAAGTAAAAGATAAGTCTTAATGAAAGTTTCGTGATGATGTTCCACTTTTAAATGGAAGTGTAGTACACTGAATGGTAAAACAAGGCTTTCTAACCAACTATAGAACCAGTTCTCAGTGTTATTAAAGTGAAGTATTAATAGCATCCACCTCAGTTTTACAAAAAATAAGATAGAGACACTATTAATATAAATCAAGACCTCTCAATATTAACAACCAACGCCACTGCTGGCTAACCAAAAAAAGTAAGTTAGGTCATTATTTTCCATAGTGAAGAGTTACATAAGTTAAACCTCTTGCTTGTTATTGTTTGTTTTGTTTCAAAGTGTAGTGACCAGATTTTAACATGTAAAATAGTCTTACTTCCAGTTAATCACAAAATCATACTTGGCTGCATTCTTTGAATTCGGAATAAATGTAATTATTAATATGACTAAATAGTTTTTGCATGTTTTATATACATTGAATCATCTATCTCTTGTTATTTATGTGATAACATACAACTTGTTGGGTAATGTTAAAATTTTATCTACACAATACCAAAAGGAATAAACAAAATGTTTTTAACAGACATTATCTTTATACATACATATATTTAATAAAACTCCAAAGTTGTAATATGGTGGTAAAATAATTTTAATTGTAGAAAACTTCCCTACCACTGGTAGTATGAAATTAAAACAAATGTCAAGTAACATAGTTATTGGGGGGGCTTTATTCTCAAAATGAAGAAAATATATATAATCCAATGTTTCCTCCAGTAGTACTGCTGATAATATAGTAGTTATTGTATTACTAGCCCTGATGAACCCACAAAGGTGAAACAATGGCTAAAATAAAGTTTTTGTATTATCTGGAGAGTAGAGGTCTTTTCTTTTTCTCTCATTTTATTGCCAAAATGTCTAAATCCCTCCAGTAAAAACTACAAATTCTAACTAAATAGAACTTGTTAAAAATACTCCATTTACCAGCCATATTGTAACTTTAATCTATCTACTAAATAAAAAGCCAAGTAACGTAGTTGCAACAAACAGAACTTGTTATAAGCCTTCCCACTTAACACTATTATTCACTGATATAATAATAAAACAAGAGAAATGACTTCATCAAAGGTAAAATTGAAAATATAATCTTAGAACTTAAAAATCTCTTACATATGACATGCACATTATAATAGGCTTAACCAAATATCTTTAGTTTGCTGACCCAAGCTGTGCTGTTGAGCTTTGAATAGGTAAATCAGGGAATACATTAGACCTCTGTCATAGATTATATTTTTAATTGTACCTTTGGTGAAATCAAAAAGAAATTGTAATATAATTATTAAACAGTTGGTCTGCTGTGTAATATCAAATAATAAATTAGAGACAATTATTCACACACACAAATTAATTTAGGTTACTATACAGTTAAAAAGGACTTGAAAACCTCATACGTAACAAGTGACTTAACTGAACCAAATACAATGTATTGAAACTTCTCTACTTATTGACGTAACCTTAATGTAATCTGCTGATAATATAGTAAATAGATGTCAAATTACATGTAAATTTGCAATTAAACTGACTTGGTATAAAATCTCAGTGTATTTAGGAGCTAGATAGTTATTTCTCCTTCATATCTGCATGACTTGGTACCATGATGAAAGCCAGAAGTTCACTACATTCCTGTAAACCTATCATTGTTCTGTAAATATAGAAAGAAAGCATTGTGTAACAAAAGACTGAATTGTCCTTGATACTTTTTAATATATATATATATATATTCTTGGGATAGTTTACTAAATATATGTGAAACTTCAGAATTTTTTTCAGTAGCTGTAACGTTGTAGTCAAAATAACAGTTTGATTTCTAAGAATGTTTTGTATTAGATAATACATTTCATTAAGCAAAATGCAGGCTTGGAATAAGACTTGTTCAACTGTAGTGACAAAGTTTGTTCAGTAATTTATCAATTTATCATTCCACAAAAGTTATTTAAATTTGTTTTTAATTATTTCATAAGTGATCATAGCAATTTACCCTGTACCTTATAAATCTAATGTAACTATCCATATAAGAAGAAAACCTATTTTTTTAGATTTAAGTGTTTCTAAAAAGCTGTTTGTAAAACATTGCTTTCTTCAGTCAATTTTTCATAAAATGTAAGGTTAGTGATGGCTTCTTCTGTGTGACTCACAGATAGCTGTTAGTTTTGTAAAACTGGAGTATCTGTGTTTTTTTCTTTTCACGGGCTACCTAATTGTCTTGAAATTAATGGCCACCAGCTGGCAAAATGATCCTTAAGGGGCACTAGGATTTTGTTTGCCAGTTAACAAACCAACCATGATTATGAAGCTTCAAACCAGTAGTAAAGAAAAAAAAGTTAACAAGTACATGTTTAATAAAAACCACAAGACAATTGATGAAAGGCCTTTTTTAAGTTTAACACCTGCCACACGAGCCAGCCCAGCATATTGATGTGGATATAAAAAATTACTCATTTTGAAAAGATTTGGGTTGTTTTTATTAGACAAAAAGATGAAGTTTGGCACTATTTTTTAAGGTCTACGTCATTGGATCAGACAAGTGACTATGAGAGTCAACATGGTGAAGTTATCTTGTAAAGTGAAATGATGTAGCATTGAAACATACTTGAAATGTTCTAGATGTAGTTGTGAATATGGTGGCTTAAGTGTAGCGATTAAGCTAAACAGTAGGTCCAAGTTGGATGAGGAAAGAACTTGTTCGAATCTATCCCAGCTGAATCGGAGAGTTGTCAATTCACTACTGCAATGACCGTGAAACATAAAAACCAGGCAAAAAAGTATTGTTATCTTCAAAAGGGGAGATTGGAATCATATATAACAAATCATTCATTTCAATATTTTGTGAAACTAATGGTACAATAAAGCCTAAAGATGCAGTGTTGAAATTCAAGCAGCTGCTCGATGCATTACAAGATGATTTCCCTAGCAATTCTCAAATTTAAAATGCCATTTCTGCAGTAAGGAAGACAGTATAATGCCCACCATAGTATAATCCATATAGATTTCATCATTTATTTTAATTAGTATTTAGTTTTCATTACATAAATTATGCTGTGCTTCATTCATTGAGATCTATCAAAATAATTTTCCTGCTGATCATCCTAGGCTCAGTATAAAAAAGATGATGGGCCTGCTTGTGTGAAAAGTGTTAAAATAGCAGTGTTTTTTAGTCTTTTTTTTTCATTTAATATTGGGAAATAATTATTGCAGACATAATCTGAAATTTGATACTACAGTAAGAAATATGACAGTTCTTAAAAATTCACACCTGATTATATATCTGTGAATCCCTTTTTTTTCTTCTGATACTTTTATAAGTAACTGGCAAACAAGTTACCCTTAGTCCCTATCACTTTATTAAAGCTATACACTTGATTTTTATCTAGTGGATGTAAAGTTAATACTGTAGTTATCATAGAATAAATTACAATAATCCCTTTTAAAAATTTTGGTTAGTCTATTACTGACCATTATTTTTTGGTCTGATGTTGTAGGGACATTTGAACAGGATTATTTGCTTTTTCTTTCTTAACATGAATTGTTATATTAAATAAGTTTACCTTCCAGATAGTGAGACGATTATGTCCAATATCATTTTGTACCTTTTATGTACTTATTTGTGGTGGGAAAAATTCGCATCCAAGTATGCTTGGTGTTAGATACCAAGTCCTATAAATGTGCACATTGTCGTGTCTAGAAATTGAATAGCGATTGATCTTTTACTTAGTTATTGGTTGGGACTTATGCTTCATGTTAACATGTTCATTGCTATTATTCTTGGTGGTCTATGTTTTGATACTACATTAATACTTTATTAATAGGCTAATTTGTCATCCCAGTTTACACTGCTACATTATATGTGTCATCATAATACATGAGATTATTTTGTTGTTGTTGCTGTTAGGACATCAGCAATTGTTAAGCTAGCCTCACAAGCAGTTATAACTGGTGTTGGAGATTGTACCTAAGCTCAGACACCCATGAAAGGTTAAGTAAAGTGAATACTTTGACTCTTAAGCTTCTGTATAACAGTACACTAATTAATTTAACAGCATTACAGAATTGTTTTTATAATATAAACTCACTAAAAAGTTGAACCTAACTTTTGTGCTAAAAAATATGTAGGCATTAAAATGTTTATCTTCAGTAGTGAATATTGTATTAGTGGGTTCATTTTGTTATTGAGGACTAAAGAAGAAATAATTTATGTTCATAGCATACATAAAAAAAAAGGAAGGAATATGAGGTTTTTACTTTCTGTAATACATGGAAACAGAATTTTCTAAGCTGTATTTTATTAAGATGATTGTAATGACCTGATAAAAAAAAAAACCTTACACTGTCTTTTTCTCAAGTTGCGACAAAATGGTTTGGGAAACAAACTCCAGTAACATAAGTTTGCCCTTCAGTGATAACTCTTATAATTTTCTTGGTGTAACCTATGTGCTTTATTGCAATGAAAATGTATTTTTGGAAAAGCTGGTGCTTGTAATAAAACTTTTTTGACTGAACTTTAGTGATTAATTTTTACATTTTAACTTCATATTTGTTACAGTGACAATGAGATTATAACCATATTAAATAGAAATTTAATATATCCACCTATACACATTAGCCATGTTTACACAAACTTAGTAATAGTTTATCTTCTTTTGTTTTTTCCTTTCCTCTTTGATCGCTCTGCCTGTCTTCTTTTTTGGTGAAACTGCATCCGAGCTTTCTTTTGCCTTGCCTTCAGAATTTCTTCTGGACGTCTTAACTCACGTTTTTGGTCTGATCGACCCTGACCTAGTTGACGCTTTCGGGGTAACTTGGTAAATTTACCTGCAAGTAATTGAAGTGAATTTTCCAATAACAAAAAGAAAAAAATATTATGTTGAAATATCAAATATTCTAAAAAAATCCTTAACTTGAAAAATTGTATTACTCTATTAAGAATCTAAACCAAAAAATTAATAATTATACAATCTTACAAATAATCATTTTAATGCTCAAAATATTGATAACACAGTGTGAATAATTAATCTAAAGACCCCTAATTTACTTCAAAATATTTAAGCATGAAAATAGTTCACCAATATATCTGATTGGACAGAATTACAATACAGAAATTATATTCCAACATGAAGATTTTTTTACATCGTGTTTATTCATTAACCATCTTCAGAATTAAAACATTATTTGAAATATAGCACATTAGAGAATCATTAAATAATTTGAAATTGGAAGTATTATTACATTAGAAGATATATCACAAATACCACTGAAGGAAAATTGATAACAGTAAGTTTAACATAACTTGTACTTAAGTTCATCTATAAAAACTAAAAAAAAAAATTATTCTTTTTTGTTTATTCACCAGTTTAACAAAACTGTTACATAAACAATTTTCATTAATTTAACATACCAAAATCATTATGTCCACTGAATGTAACTGTTATTGTTACAAAAACTCAAACCTCTAAAGCAGTTTGCTTTCTTATATTTTATAAAAACAAAGTTAATGTGTTGATGTCTTATGTCTACAACACAGAACTGTACAAAATACAAGCAAAGCAGCTTCACTAACCTTTTCTCACTGGTGTATGTGACTTAGTACCAGGATTAATCTCTTCATCATCGTCATCTTGTTTATCGACCTTATACTTTTCTTTCCACTGTTTATAACTGTTGAAAGTTAGGGTTGTCAAACTAGGTTTTGTATCTTATTCACAAACCAACTTCTCTTTCATCTGAAGCTTTATAATTATGCAAAAATAAAGGCTTCATCCAAGCTTTACATAAGATCTAAAATATCTGGATTTTTATGTTCATCCTAATAATTAAAATTGTATCCTACTTACAAGGATTTTTCTAAATTATATAAAATTTATATTTATTATGATATTTACATGATTAAAAGTATCATTCTGAACAATCTCCAAAGCTATGTGACCTTTCACAATCTTTCCAAATATGAAGAAAAGAATCCTAGATTTAAAATACCTTAAGATGTCTGACATGTTCATTCCAACAATAAAGAATCTAGTTTACACTGGGAAAAATCCTTTTGCCTTCTCATTTTTTAAAGTTTCAATCTTTACCCTCTCTGCACTATATCAAACAAACAGGGTAAGTTGAAGTTATGATTAACCCTCTCCTTATGTACACATCAAAGAGTGCAAGTAACAATGTTTTATTAGAGTTTTAAAAAACTTGAACGACTTTATTATCAATGTATGTCAATAAGATTGGCATCAAAACATAGTTGACTATTCAAATTTTAATATTATACATGTTTTAATTTCTTAATTGCCAATCTTGTATGCTTTAGTGAAAAGCAAGAATTTGATAGCAGCTCAGTAAATTGAAACTCTCATTCCTGGAGCTAATAAATTCC